TGTAGCTGGAAGTGTTCCTGTGTCCTGCCTGGTCCCACAGCCACTCACACCAAAATAAACACACAGAGGCTTATATTATTTACGAACTGTATAGTCTATGGCAGGCTTCTTGCTAGCTAGCTCTTATATCTTAAATCAACCCATAACTATTAATTTATGTATCACCTCATGTTCCATGGCTTTACCTGCATCCCATTACATGTTGTTCCTTGGGTAGCTGGTTCAGGTCTCTTCCCTTCTGCCTTTCTTCTTCCTGTCTATCTGCTTGTATTTCCTGCCTGCCTCTAAGCTGCCTTGCCATAGGCCAGTACAGCTTTATCAACCAATCAGAGCAACACATATTCACAGCATACAGAAAGACATCCCACAGCACTCATTTGGTTCTGAGCGTCTGCAGGAGCTGGGTGGGACCAGGAAAACTCCAGTTATAGATGGTTGCTGTTAAGCCTGGCAGCCTGAGTTTGATTCCCAGGACCCACAAAGCTAGAAGGAAAGAACTGACGGCTGCAAGTTGCCCTCTGACCTTCACATGTGCATTAGGGCACATGTTTTCCCCCACTCACTATTTTAAAACAAGCAGTTATTTTATTAAATGATTGAGAAAAAAGATTTAATTTGTTATTTTTCCTATATGTCTCTTAAAATTTAAAGCTCTCCCATTTAATGAAAGTTTATTTTCTGCTGTGACTAGAGGTATTTTTTGGATTGATTTATTTTATTCATATGAAAATTTTACCTTGTATGTATGCATGTCTACCATTTGTATACCTAGTGCGTGAGAAGATCAGAAGAGAGCATCAGATCCCTTGGACCTGGAGTTAGGTGGTTGTGAGCTGCCATGTGGGTGCTGAGAACTGAACCTGGGTCCTCTTCAAGAACAAGTGCCCTTAACCACTGATTCGTGTGGTGATGTATTTGTAATCTAAGAAATCAAGTTTTCCTGAAGATCAGAGGGCAGAGCCAGCCCCAGAGTTAGCCATAGTCAGGCAGTGGTGGCACATACCTTTAATCCTTGTACTCAGGAGGCAGAGGCAGAGATCTTTCTGGTTTTCTGTGAATTCAAGGCTGCACTGGGCTACATGAAATTAATCCAGTCTGTAGCTAGAGTTTTCCTGCCTTGCCCACAGTCAGGACAAATCTTTGTCACCCGCCAGTCCCACAGCCGCTCAGACCCAACCAAG